CAGGACATGGCCCAGTAGAAAATGACACATGGTCCATGCTCTGTAGACACTGTTAAGGCAGGACCAGTGCATGTGCAGCCATGTTCTTAAAGGTGGAGTGCGGCACACTGACACACCCCTTCTCTCTCCCCTCTCCCCCCCAGCTCTCTCTGTACCTCTCTGGGCTCTGGACACACGAGTGAAGGCACTTTCTTCATATCTTGCACAGTTTCTCTCGTCTGCTCTGATTGCTTTCATGCATTTTAGATTGTGTACCTGCAGTACATATATTGCATTGTACTGTACGTCTGTCACAGTCTGTTATATATGTATTTATATATATAGTTTTGTTTTTTACTGGTTTAAGTTTTTATCGGATAACTTTTATAACCTCCACGCGATCTTGTGAGGTGTGTGAATGGGGTGCGAACGATGTGAGAGAGAGAGAGAGTGATCGTTGCTGATTCAGGCTGCGGGGGGGGCAGTGTTAGTGTACAGTGATGGAGGGCCAGTCCCGAGTCTCCTCACACTGCGGGGAGCTGCAGTTCACAGCTGGGGACAGTGGCCGGTCGTTTCCCAACACTGGGGACAGTGGCCGGTCATTTCCCAGTATTGCTTTGGGTGAGGGGAGAGGGAGAGTTTAGTTTGGGGGGGGGGCGGGTGGGTGGTAGGGAGGCTTGTATATAGTTTTGTGTAATTTCTTTTGATAGGTTTAAGAAAACAAGTTAAAAAAATGTTTTTTGTTGTTTTTGTTTTAATTAGTTACCTATTTTTTACAGAATAATGAAAAAAAATAAGTTAAAAAGTTAAGTATAGGAATAAACTAACAAAAAAATGAAATCTATAAATGATCAGAGCTGATTCTAGAAGCAGCAAGCAGCCTGTAGATGTGAAAAGTGTTTTGTTTTTCTTTCGGTATGATGTGAGGAAATTGTTAATGCTGTTAAGACTGGTTCTGTCGTTCATTTTGTAGTCATTGCTGTTGTAGTGTGTGGGAAGACTGGACTGTAGCTGGTGCACTATGAGTGGGCATTGCTGTCCTGTCAGCAATGGTTCTGAAGGTTTTTAGTTGGCTCTTCGGATCACCAGCACCTACAACCTCCAGAGCCCTGGTCCAGACTGCCCGTCCAGACCAGCTGTGCGTTACTGCCGAAATCCTGGAGCTTTTTGCCTCGTTAAAGCCTGCGGTCCGTTAAAACTGGCCTGGAACTGAGCTAAAGGCAAAATTGAAGCCCTCACACTGGGGGAAGCTGGAGTTCACAGCTGGGGACAGGGGCTGGTCATTTCCTGTGACCACAGGCCTTAAAGGAGAGGCCAGCCTTGTGCGTCAGAAAAACAGCATTTTCACCTCTAGTCTCGCTGTCCTGTTGGTTTAATAGAAAAGTGGGGACCTGTCTTCTGACGTTCGCTCCTGATCAGAGTAGAGTGTAATTAGAGGAGCTGAGCTGGAGTTAAACCTGCAGGCTCAGCGGGCCCTCAGAGCCAGGGTTCGGTAGCCCAGCTGTACCAGTGGCGAGATACCCAGTGCCACGCTGCAGTGCCCACCACACAGGTTACGGGTTCGAGTGTCTGACCAGGGCTCTCCGAGCAGAGGCGCTCAGTCAGAGGGCGGGGTGGGATTGATCGGCATGCCTCTCTCAGTGACACTGCGACCCCTGGGGCCTCCATGTGGGCGGAGCTATTAGTGGCAGACACTCCTCTCAACCAATCAGAGCTGATGGTCCAGCCGGGGGGGGGGGGCGTGTTTCCTGTGACACGTTAACAGACGATTGGCCGGACGGTGGGAGAGTGGGAGGAGTCGGGCTTCCTCGTTCTCCCCTGCGTGAGGTCACAGGGGTCGTGGCTGAGAGTCCAGCCACGAACAGCACACGGGTAGAGTTTCCATTTCGGGTGGACACAACAAACGTAACTGGCTACTCTAAATTTAGGCAAAGAAAGGAGTTTGCTCTGGTCCTGCGTTTTCCCACACACTGTGAGAAGCTGTGTGCAGCCTGGCACTCCCTGGTCTGGGGGGCTGCTTCCACCACGAAGCTGATCCTTCTGTGCTCCTTACCTTAGCATCACCCTCTCCATACCTCTATACATCTCTGTTGTGTGTGTTGGTTTAATTGCTGTCATTATGATGATTAATAACTCGGTTACTAGTTTAAAACTCTGCTTGCTCCTTTTTTAAGTCAATGATCCGGTTCTTGAAACGTTGAACGTCCGGAAGTGCACTAGCTGAGGACGCGGGGCGGGGGGGGGAGACGAGGACGCTGGGAAGGGAGAGGCCTGGGCAGATCGCCTTACATGTTTCTCCCACTTTCCCCTTCTGTCTCTCTTACTCTGTCCATGGCAGCTCCTTCAGCGTCGATTGGAACTGTTGGTCATACATTTATTGATGTGTTTGTGTGTGCGTGTACAGTGCTGCCTACCAAGGTCTCTGGGCTGGTCCAGTCTCCAGCCATCAGATGCTTGCGTGCTAGGAGTCAGAGCCAGTGAGAAAGTGCTGGCAGGCTCCTGTGTTTTGCCCACGTTGCCCCAATTCAGCTTTAAAAACAAAATAGGCTATCACAGAGGAGAGTGAGGAAATAAGGGCAGACTCCTTGGACCTGCCCACCTTCTGGCCACTTATCTATCAGCATGTCACAGACAGCCCCGCCCCCTACTGGACGGTCAGCTCTGATTGGAGGAGAGGATTGTTACTCACTTACAGCCCCGCCCCTCTCCTGTAGCATCAGCTCTGATTGCAGAAGAGGAACGTCCCACACTGGCAACTCCGCCCCTCTACTGCCTTCCTAATGGAGAATCATCTCTGATTGGAGGAGACCGGCGTATCTCACTGACAGCACCCCCTCCCTAATTGAGAATCAGCTGTGATAGGAGGAGAGCTGCCTCTGTCACTGAATGTACCACGTGCCTGCAGGCACCAGGGAGACCACAGGGGTCACTGTGTTGCTGAGAGCTGAGAGATTCCTGGTGGCGTTGAGCCAGTTGTGCACCACTGCCTAGGAAATTCCCATTTCAGTCATCTAGGGATGTAATCCAGATATGAACTCTGGATTATAGAGTTCAATGTGTGCCTTACTCATTGAATAAAGCACGGACTCATGGGAATTTCCGATAAAAATAATTTTTAGTGCAGGATAAAAA